GGGGGGCGCGTTTGGGGATCGCAACTCCAGACCAGCCCGCCGCGCACCGCCGCGCATGTAAGCACGAGCGGTCCTGGCACACGGTCCCAGAGATCTGACGTTTTGGATTCTCAATACGCGGTCCCCTGGAAGTTCCAATCCTTTCTCCAGCGCAAGCGTTTCGTCCCATGTCGTTATTGTACGGGCCCGGTGGTGTGGGGGGGGGCAGAAGCCGAAACGGCTAAAGCAAACATCCTCAATTGTTGATCAAGAAGTTGGATCTCAGGGGGTGGCGCCGTCCAGACCTGCCTGCTCCTGCGGGGGTGATGGTGGCGGCGGCGGCGGCGGCGGTGCTGACGACGACGACGACACACACAACGACGATGACGATGACGAACACAACGACGACTAGGATGAGGATGATGACGGGGATGATGAGAACGCGTATGATGATGGTGATGATGGCGGCGAAGACGACGATGATGATGATAATGATGATGATGGCGATGCTGACGCTGAAGATGGTGATGCTGATAATGTTGATGCGGACGGTGGTGCTGATGCTGACGATGATGCTGAAGATGACGATGAGGAGGAGGAGGAGGAGGAGGAGGAGGAGGAGGAGGAGTCATTCCTTCAACGCCCATGTGAACTCTCTGGAAGCACAAGTGCAAGGCAGCGAATTGCAAATCGGGGAACTCGGGTCTGCGAGCCACCACGAGCCTTCGGCCAACAAACTCTGCGCCTTAACACACCATACGAGCACGTACAACATGGAGAACGTGGGGCTCTATGGTTCTGGCCCCTTGAGCGCAGCCCCACCCATGCAGTCGGGCCGCTGAGTAAGGAACACTTGCTTTTCAAAGACGACTCGGTCGCTCCTGAAGTTGCCGCGCGTCCCGCTCCTGCTTGGGGAACGAGCCCCCCCGGCGGGACGGCGGGTTTAAGGGACGGGGCTCCAAGAGGGGTTCGGTTCCCTGCTCTGGTTCGATACTTTTTCAACGGCGGTCGCGTTGAGGCCCAGCTCCTCTCTCGGGCCCCCCCCTTTCCTTGCCCGGCGGGCGTCGGAGCTTTCGCCCTTATCGGCGCGCCAAAGTAGGGGCATTCAGGCCCAGCTTCTCGCTGGAGCACCCGCCCTTCCTTTGGCCACGCGATTCAGAGCTCACTGGCCGGACATAATGCATCGGTGGCAGCGTTGAGGTCCGATCTGAGCGCGCGTAGCCGAATCGGGGAGCGGTCACGGCGAGGCCCAGTTCCTCGCCCGAGCCCCTCTCGTTCGTAACGCGTTGTGCGCGGGCTGCGCTCCTGCATTCGATCTTGCATCAACGGAGGAGGAGGGAGGCGGGCGCACCTCGGCATTTTGGCAGGGGGGGCAGGGCTCTGATCGCGAAAGCAAATCAGAGCGGAACGCCGCTAAAGCCGTGTTTTCGGACTTCATGGACTTGCTTGGGGAAAAAACGGGGCATCGTTCCTTGCCAATCGTTCCTTAGGTCAGCGGCCCGACTGCAGAGCCAAGAGACTCCAGGAGTGGAAAGGCACTCGGCGAGGACTGACCTCAGGGCGCCGCTCAGGCCACGCGAGGTGGACAGTACACGAAGCAAGCCAAGCAGCAGCACAACCCTGCACAAATATTGCACTGGACAAGCGACAACGGTAAAAGTTTAGTTACTGTGCGCAGCATCTAGCAAGTTGGAGAATCAGCAAACGAGCACCATCGGAAACGCCTCGGCGGCGCTATCTCCTGTGCCTCCGCCTTGTCGCCGCCGGAGTCATTGTCGTCGTCGCCTTCGGCGGCGTCGGCAACCTCGGCCTTCTTGGCCTCGTCCTCATCATTATTTTTGGCCGTGTCGACCTCGTTCACTGCTCTCCACTTCTTGGCGAACGCATCGGCCTCGGCCACATCATCGCACAAGATGATAATGTCGACAACGGTGCCACCCTTGACCTGCCACAAGTGAAACTCCAAGAAGCCGAAATCAGCGTACGAGTGAACCTTGTCATCATCGACGCACTAAGGGTGAACGATATTCTTCTTGGCCTCCCAGATCCCCTTGTAAGCCAGGCTCTCGGTCCCCTTGACGATCCAGTTACCCTTGTACGCGGGATCGTCCTCCATGGGGGCCTCCCACTCGCCGTCCTCCTCGTCGTCCCAGTTATCCAGCTTCGCCGCCGACTCGTCCACGATACGCTTCTCCTCCACCCAGTCGTCTGGCTTCTTCTCCTCTGGATCGTCCATCATGGAGCTGTCCACCCAATCCGCTGGCTCCTTGTCGTCAGGGTCCGGAGCCTCCTCCGGTTTCAGGCCCCCGTCCTTTTTGATGAATCCCTTAACGATTTGTTCCTCGTCGAACTCGACGCGGACGGAGTTGTACCGCTTGAGAACCATGCGGCGCAGGTGGGAGATGCCAGCGTCCTCGCCCCACTTATAAGAGAGGTCGGATTTCTCGAGCACGTTGATACCCTCGTGATGAAATATTAGATGCGTCCTCTTGGTCTACCCGCACTTGTCCGGCCCGCACATGATGTTGCAAGGCGTCGGGTCGCCAACGTGGTCAGGTCATCGAGTTCGAGCCCGCTCTTCATGTACCCGCCGCCGCACCCCACGTCCTTCTCGTACTTGACCTGGTGTTGGATAGTGAGCTATTTGCATTCGTGGGCTCTCTCCCAGCTGGTCATCATGTGTACAAATGCGTGGTATGACTTGAGCGACGGTGTTTTTCCTCGAGGCTAAGACATCATCATGTGGCAGCTTTGGCCCGCCCGATTACCCCACATGCTTTCGCGAAGAGAGACCGATGCCGCGCAGTTAGAAAGGCCTGAGCAGCACGGCAGCGCTATGATGATGATGGAATTACGATGATGACGATGGTGATGCAGATGCGGGTGCTGATAATGAGGCTGATGATGATGCTGATGCCGATGCTAATAATGATAACGACTAGTTCCTGATGATGATGATGATGATGATGATGATGATGATGATGATGATGATGATGATGATGATGATGATGATGATGATGATGATGATGATGATAGTGATGATCCTGGTGATGACAATGATGCTGCTGATGGCGATGCTTACGACGACGACGACGATAATGATGATGATGCTGATAATGAGGAGGATTATGATGATGGTTATGATGATGATGTTGATGATGATGATGATGATGAGGAGGAGGAGGAGGAGGAGGAGGAAGGAAGGGAGCGAGGGAGGAAGGGAAGTAGGAGGAAGGGAGGGAGGGAGGGCAAGCGCAAGGGCGAGGGCGCGGGCGAGGGAGGTGAAGGGGGAAGGGGATGGGGAGGGAAGGAGGGAGGCCCCTATCGACCTCTCGACCTCTTCGAACCCTCGATCCCTCGATCCCTCGACCCCCGCGATCGCTCGACGATCGCTCGACCTCTTCGGTCCCTCGCACTCGACCCCCTCGACCTTCTCGACCTTCTCGACCCATCGATCCCTCCAGCCCTCGAGGGGCCGAGGGATGGAGGGCTCCATGGGCCGAGGGGCCGAAAAAGGCCGAGGGATCCCAGGGCTCGAGGCGTCGAGCGATCGAGGATCGAGGCATCGGGGGACCCGTGGACCTCCATCTCCTCCTCCTCCTCGCTCTCCTCCTCCTCCTCCTCCTCCTCCCCTCTCCTCCTCATCCTCCTCCTCCTCCCTCCATCTCCTCCTCCATTCCTCCTCCTCCTCCCTTCCTCCTCCTCCTCCTCCTCCTCCCCTGCCTCCTCCTCTTCCTCTCCCTCCTCCTCCTCCTCCTCCTCCTCCTCCGCCTCCGCCTCCGCCTCTCTCCTCCTCCTCCTCCTCCTCCTCCTCCTCCTCCATCTCTCCTCCTCCTCCACCTCTCCTCCTCCTTCCTCCTCCTCCTCTCTCCTCCTCCTCCTCCTCCTTCTCCTCCTCCTCCTCCATCTCCTCCTCCTTCATCTCCTCAGGCCGAGGGGCCGAGAAGGCCGAAGAGGACGCCCGGGCTCCTTCGGGCCGCCGGACGCCTGCCGCCGCGGCTCCGCCGCCGCCCCGAGAGCCCGCGCGCGCGCGCGGCCCGGCGCGGCTCGAGGGCAGCACGGCGCGTGCACACCCTGGGCACCCTGGCAGGGAAAAGGAGGAGGAGCAGGAAAAGGAGGAGGAGAGGAGGAGGAGGAGGAGGAGGAGGAGGAGGAGGAGGACGAGGGGAGTAGGAGGAGGGGTAGCAGAAGAGATCTGTAGCAGAAGGAGGAGGAGGAGCAGGAAAAGGAAAAGGAGAGGAGGAGGAGGAAGAGGAGGATGAGGAGGACGAGGGGAGTAGGAGGAGGGGGAGCAGAAGGAGGAGGAGGAGGAGGAGGAGGAGGAGGAGGAAGAACGCAGCAGCCACGGATGCTCATGTGTGGCCAACGTCAAGAAGGATGAGGAGGACATGCTCGTATGTGTTCGATGGCTTTCGGAAATTTTCGGGCCCTGGGGTGGTTTCCACCAGCTGCGCCCCATCGAAAAGCGCCCGGGGTTGCCCAGATCGTCCCTTCCCTGATTTTCGGAGCTTCTGGAACCCGGGGGCACAAGAGGGCACCAAGACCGCCCAAGAGGCGCCCAAAGGGGGATTCTGCCCTAGGAGTACCTCAGAAGCCACCAACATCCCGCCAATACCCCAAGACGCCCCAAGAACCACCCAAGAAGCCCAACAAGAAGCCCCAACGACCCCCATTCCATCAGCTGCGCCTCGTCGAGAGGCCTCCAGAGGCGTCCAGGGGGTGCCCAGCTCGTCGCGAGCGGCCGCCGGAGTCCCGAACCAAGGCCCGAAAAGCCCAGAAGTCCAAAATACGTAGCACCCCGCAGCTGACTACCTACCAGACCACCCCGACCCAACCCGAAGGCCCGAATTCGACCCGAATTTCGGGTTGGGGCGGCGAGGGCGTCGGCAGTCTGACTACCTACCAGACCACCCCAACCCAACCCGAGGGCCCGAATTCGACCCGAATTTCGGGTTGGGGGGGGGTACGGATCCCATGTGTTTTTTCGATGTTCCCCGACCCCCCCCACTGGAAATCGAGAATAAATTTGGGCCTTCGGGTTGGGTTGGGGTGGTTTGGTGGGTGGTGAGAAAAGCCCAGAAGTCCAAAATACGTAGCACCCCGCAGTTGCGGATAAGAGTGAGGGGGCGGCGAGGGCGTCGGCAGTCTGCGAGGCTCTGAAGAAGCCCGCCGCAGTCGCCGACCTGTTTTCAAAGTATGCCGTGAGCCCACCGCAGGCGCTTGTTCTTCGCGAAAGTAATGATGTGGGTGGGTCGCATGATGGGTCGTGGGTGGATCGCGGGTGAATGGCGGGTGGGTCGCGGGCCAAGTCGCGGGTGAGTCGCGGGTGGGTCGCGGGTGGGTCGCGGGGCGGGTCGCGGGGGGATCGGTGGGTGGGTCGCGGAGTGGATCGCGGATGGGTAGCGGGTGGGTCGCGGATGGGTCGCTGGGTGGGTCGTGGGATGGGTCGCGGGTGGGTCGCGGGTGGGTCGCGGGGTGGGTCGCGGGGTGGTTCGCGGGTGAGTCACGGGTGGGTCGCGGGTGAGTCGCGGGGTGGGTCGCGGGTGGGTCGCGGACGAGGTCGCGGGGGGGACGGCGCCAAAGAACAACAACAACAACAACAACAACACAACAACAATCATTTAAGACTGGGGACACTCCGTTCTCACCAGTGCCAGGGTTTTCATAGGAGGCGGGCAATACCCCCACTTTGTGGGGGGGCCGGTTCAAGCTCTACCAAATTTCCAAACGACTCTTCGCCACCACCCACACCCAGCTTCCCGCCCTATGACGTTCGGACACTTCACTTCGTGGCATGCGGACGACCGTGGCTACTATTCAGGGCCCCGCGGCCGACGACGACGGCGTGCGCGCGCGAAGAAAAAACGAATGTGTCCAATATGGTATTATTTGACAGGGATGATGGCCCTGGCATGCGCGCAACCGTTGTTGCAGAAGTTCGAAGCACGTGAAAAAGTTGCTCGCAAGAGCCCGTTTGACAGAAATGTTGAAAAAATATTGGGTTTCCTCAGAAATCCGCAAGAGCGCGCAAGATGATTTTTTGAAACTTTTTGTTTGAAAAACCATTGGGTTTTTCATGTTTTTATGTTAAAATCGCTACGAAAACTAAGGTTTTGGAAGGATTTCATCTTGCGCGCGCGAGTGTGCACTTCGTGTCATTTTTTGCAAAGGATTCTTGAAGTTTGGTTATGTTAGAACAAGACATGTCATTTTATAGTGTTTTTGACAGGGAAAGCGGGCGTCAACAAAACAACCGGATCTGGATGACATCGTTTTACCTGAGACTTCCTCACGAAAATGATGAAAATGTGGCTGCGGCCTAGGCGCGGGGGGGGGGGGCGTGCACCAGGGGGCCCAACAATAATTATTCTTTAGAATTAATAATGTTCAACAACAACAACAACAACAACAACAACAACAACAACAACAACAACAACAACAACAACAACAACAACAACAACAAGGTTGACACGTGACTTGGTCGCCCGCTCACCGGGAAACTTGGTCAACGCTTGTCCTTACAGGACAACCCGCGACCTTGCACCCCGGGATAAGCAACCACCCCCCCCCCACCCGGCAGGCAGCCAGCAACCCGACCCAGGGGGAGGCGGACTCGAGGAGGAGGAGGAGGAGGAAGAGGAGGAGGACGAGGAGGACGAGGAGGAGGAGGAGGAAGAGGAGGAGGAGGAGGAAGAGGAGGAGGAGGAGGACGAGGAGGACGAGGAGGAGGAGGAGGAAGAGGAGGAGGAGGAGGACGAGGAGGAGGAGGAGGAGGAGGAGGAGGAGGAGGAGGAGGAGCACTCTGAGATGCGCAAGATCAAGCGATGCTTCGCCACGCTCGGCCCCCAGAGGCCCTCGCTGGGCCCAGGGGCCGTCGAGGAACGACCGGGGGCGAGAGGCCAGCCCCGGGTTCAGGGGACGAGACCTTTTGGGACTCCACACTACAAACAAAACAAACAAACAAACAAACAAACAAAGAAACAAACAAACAAACAAACAAACAAAAGCCACTCGAACTTAGATCTGAGCGTCGCAGTTGTTTCATACTGGCTGCTGTCGTTTTCTTTTCGTTCTTTAGGTCGGGTTTTTTTTTTCGCGACGTGTTTCTGAAACTTCCGCTTTCGGAAACTATGGCCCCGGTCCCGGGGCCATAAAAAACACAGCTTTGGATGAAAAGCGCCCCACGTCGTGAAAAATACTTCGTCGGAAAAGCGGGGTCCTCTGTTTTCGTTTTCCCCGTCGGCATTGTCGCCGTCGTCGTTGTCGTGGTCGTGGTCGTGGTCATTTCCTGGTTGGTATCTCACTGTTCCGCGGCAGCGTCACCTGCTGTGGGCTACAGACTGTCTCTTCACCGTTCTGCCAACGCACCTCTGCCGTGCATGGCATGTTTCTTATCTTGCTCTGACAATGTTCGCACAGCTTCGGGACCCAGGGCCCTCGCGGATCGATCCGAATGGAGGAACGCCGCAGACAATTAGGGTCGATGGGGTCGGGGCTGTGATTTCCCGCGATGCTGCCTGTTTTGGCGCGATATCGGAACTCGGGGGCGGCAGGATCGAGGAAAGACTAAATGTTTCGCATGCTTTTGACTGGCGGAAAACTTCACGAGCCACAGCTGGAAAGGAGGGACGAGGAAGGAGAAAATGAGGATGAGGAGGAGGAGGAGCAGCAGCAGCAGGAGGAGGAGCACAGGAAGGGATGTGGAGCGGAGTGGACGCCATGACGAGGTCATATCGAAGCACTGGCTCCCCCCTGAGCTTCACGGGCGCCAAGACGATGAGGCCAAGCGCCACGACGATAAACACAGAAATGATCTGCTGCGAAACAAAATGTTCGTTCACCAATAAGCAACTCTGAGGAAAGTGGCATGCATCACGCCTTGGAAGCCCACGGTAACGCACATGTTCTTCCAGCCAAGAAAGCCCGACTGCAGAGTGAGAGACATAGAAGCACACACACACACACACAACGCCACCAACTGCACAACAACATTGAAGAACGCCAATGTTGTGATGCAGTCAGGCGGGGGCGAGCAAAATGCCAGCACGAAAACTCCAGAGCATGATCGGCAAGACACGCATATGCGCCCTGCTGCTGTTTGCGATCGTCGGGCTTAGACGGCAAAGTCGGAGGAGGTAAAGGTGTCTGGACTCCCTGTTCCGTCATTGCGCTGAGGCACGCCAGCGCGCATCGTCTGAGAACTCGACTGCGCTTATTCCGCCCCGCTGCGCGGAAGAGTGCGATGATGCAGAGCCTGTCCACTGAGCGAGGCTTGCGCAATCAGCACCCAGAGCCGCTCGATTCTTTGCCCAGGCGCCGCCATAGGCCGACGCCGCAGCAGGACGAGCATCATCCCTCTCCGACCCCATCCGCCTCGGCCGTCGCGCTGGTTGCGCTGCCGCGTGCGCCGCCCTGTGCGCCCCGCTGCTCCGAGACTCAGTCTCGCTGCGGCTGCGATGGCCTGCGAAGCTGCCGCTGCGCCCGCCGCTGTCGCCG